CCAGTAATTCAACCAGCAGAGAAGAGCAGAGCTAAGGTGCAGTCAGGCATCCTCCTGCAGCTCCCAGTGCAACAGTTTGATGGTAGCACCATCCTCTCCTCCTTCCTGCCCTGCACCATTATCCTCCACCTGGAAGCCATACCCCTCCCCAGCAGAGCTGCGGTGGGACAGACTGGGGGAGAACCAGCGATCCGTTCCAGCGTGAAGCCGGCTACACCAGCCAGTATCACCACCGCTAACAGCTGAAGCCATCGTGATTAATGAGGACCAGGCAAGCAGTCAGGAGACGTGGGAATCTTCCACTGTATTTTCAAAAAGCAGCACATTTCCCATTCATCTTCATCTGGTCAGACCAGGTTGAATCTCTCTGTTAGTAAGGGATGGTCCAACACCTTCCTGCAAAAGCCCATTAATCGAAGGATGACTCTTGCCTTGACGTCTCTATTCCTTGGCAAAGGAAGGAGTTTCACAGTTTTCTCAGGCTTTAATAATAAAACAAATAACGCATCACTTCATCAGGAGAAGCCTGTTTTCTGAAGCGATGGCGAGAACCCAGACAGAACTACTCTTTAGAGACAGCCCTATTTAGGTAACTTCTGTATCTTTAATTACTGGCGATATCCTGGGCTCTTTAATGAGGAGGTGTGTGGCAGTTGTATTATCTCAGACCAACTTAAGGCTCTCCATGGCACTTCCAAGCCGATGACAGCTAGTGTTCAGCAGTCTTATTGGGAGTACCTGGAAAGGGTATGGGAGCAGTATGGAAGGAGAGACGCTTGCTCCAGTTTCCTGGCCACAGGGATTAATTTTAGAATAATTCAGAGGTTAATAAATAGCTAGATACTACCCAGACCACAGTGATTTCATTGAATAAGGTGTGTAAACCAAACAGATGACAAAAACTTGCATAAACCACGCTTCCTTTCAGTTAATAAAATCCCACATAGCCAATTTTAACCCAGTACTTGTACTTAAGCTCAATAACGCGTTCCTGGTAAAACCAAGGTAAACACACAAATGCTCACGCTGAAACAGCAAAACCCACAAAACAAGAACATGATGGAAGAGCACAAATCAGTCAAGAAGCTCAGCTCTTGAAGCACAGAAACCAGATCTATAATCTGCGTGAGCCAGGTATTTTTGATGACACTGTGGCAGCAAAAGGCATCAAGGTAAGAGAAAGTTGACAGACAGTAGCAAAACCAAGAATCACCTCATTTTACAAAGAATGAAGCTGGAGCATAAACCACGCATAAAGCTTAAGAAGCGACTGGCACTCAGCCTAGTACAACACAACTCCAGTTGCACTGTTGTAAGAGCTGAACACCTAAATATTCTATCTTACAAAGGCTAAACCGGGTCTAAGTGAGGAACAAAACCAAGGCTGGCTATTCTAGGTATGCCAGCATACCCTGTTAAATGCAAGCAGACTTTATACAAGAGGGGATCCCTGTGGAATGCTACCATAAGCTGGACTGAAGTGGAAGCAGCTACACTGGTGCATTTGTCAAGGAAAGCGCATCTGGTTTTCACACACTGCAAAAAGTAGTTGTGTGTCAAAATAACTCTGCACTTGGGATAAATATTTTGCTGCGGACTTCAGCTTAATCATTTGTTTCCCCAGCACCATGCAGGGATTAAGTAAGGCAATATAATATTCAGTTGGCTAGCTCTGGGGGAAGGCTGCTCAGCACTGCCAGGGAAAGTAAAGCAAGGGTAGGAAAGAGCCAGGGGCAGAGGCTTCTGCTCGGCCGTGCTGCGAGCAGGCAGGGACCGGCAGCACGCACTCCAGTTGCTAGGTAGCTTAGAGTTACAGATATGCCTCATTTGCCTGTGCAAACATACCCCGCAGGACTATATTTACAGAACACGGCCTTTGCTTCCCGTTCCTTTGAGCGATATAAAAATAGTGAGAATTCTTCCTTTGGGAGCTCAGCAACAGTTGCCCTTGGGTTGCTGCTGTTGTCCCTGAAACGCGGCCGCGTATCTGAGCCATGGTGGAGCGGGCAGCTTGAGTCATCATGCGTCCACGCAACCACTGCCTGCTCTGGTCTTGTGTTAAGGGCTAGCGTCTCTCACCTCAACTTCACTAATTCGGGAGATGATAGCTTGGTGTCAACTCTGAAAAACTGGTCTAGTCCCAGGACAACAGAATTGCCGGTTTGGGAGAAAATCTAACAGATCTTACCAGTCCAACATCTGAACTGCAATTAGCAGAGAAAATTGCATTCTGCATCTATATCAAAAGGAATAAAAATAAAGAAATGGCTTTTCTAAGGGAAGAAAGAATCAGAATTATGCACTGTCCGAGCAATACAAGTTATTAAACAGTGGTATTTTGGGGAAACTGAGATACTATTCAAGAGCCCACAGTACACTGTGTTACTGGGGGGATCCTTCGCTACAGCAGGTTTGGAGAAGGGAGTACCACATATGACTAGAAGCGGCATACATCACTTAAACGTAGTAAGGTAGCACTTGAACATTTCTTTAGTTTGAGTTGTTTCCCAACAAGCGCATGAAAACACTGCACAACAACGCCGTAAGCGCGCTCTGTATGAATGAGCTGGCTTTCAACACCAGCAAACCCTTTCTAGCCGCACAGTTCATCTTCACATGGCTGGCAGACACAAGCTAAAAAACCTACAGAGCAGCTACAAATTCTTCAATGTTCAAATCAAGGGAGGAAGACAAGCCTGTCCAGAGGGCTGCGGCATCCCCAAGACTCCCAAAGTGGAGAACAGGCACTGGTGTACATTACCTGACCTCCCAAGAAAAGGCCACCAATTACCCTCTTCTCCTGGCAGCCGAAAGCTGTCATTCCAGAGGTATAAGTCATAGGCTTGCAAACACAGGCACGAAAGACTGTTTAAATAAAACTCTTGTTACCACAGCAATTAACAGGTTCGTTACTTTCTGCAGTTTAGAGCAGGTCGAAGCAGCAAGGACCTTTACCAATTTTGACACTTGTTTTGGGCAGTGCTTGCTTTCTTAATAGCGAGCAGCTGGCCCCCAACAGAGTTTTGCAGGTAAGAGATGGGTGTTTGTCTCTGCCATCCTTAGGCAGACACAGAGAAGTTGTGGGCGGGCAGTGCATCTATTTTCACCAGTAACATCGTAACATCTTGATAAAGGACCATCTGATTCCACCTTAAAAAAAAAAAAAAAGAACTGGGAATCTATGGAAAGCACATAGATAGAATTGGATTATTAACAGGTACAGCATATTAGAAAGTGCATTTATGGCAGGATGGGAATAGGCCTAAAGGGCTGAGAAGACACGGCAAGGTCTTTAGGCAGGCCTCCGAAAAATCGCTACAAGCCTAGGCACAGTGACATTTACAAAATCTGTGCTAACATGTAATTTCCAAAGGCCGTGAAGCTTCCAAATTTTTTTGTGCGATACCAACAACTACGTGCTATTGACTCCCACTAACAAAACTGGACAGACAAAAGCTGGGAGTCACCAACATCTCTCAGCAATTGGAACAAGCCCCGTGTCTGGCTCGTAAACACCTCATTACAACCCACTCCCTGCCAGACGCAAAGAGCAGACAACAGTTATGTATGGCAGTGAAGAGAACAAGGGTCAGCGGTACTGGCATGGATGCAGACTTCAAGGGGAGTAGGAAGAGGTCAAATTCTT